GATCCTCCCTTATGGATGAGTACGACATTTGCCAACTTCCAACCTTCGATATCCTCCACTCCCAGAATTTTCTATTACGGGACAAGGGATGTTAATTTAGTTTGATTTCAGTTTATTATTTAGTTTATAATTTTAGTTTAAGTTTAATGTAGTTTATAATTTATTTAGTTTTGTTTACTTTAGCTTAGATTTAATTAGGTGATTTATAGATCAAATTGTGCTCACCGGAATGATTTTGTTTGTTCGCTAAAACTTTGGACAGCTGGGCCGTCAATCTATGCCAAAATCCACAGGGAGGGCCAATCAGCGAACGGAGAAAAATCGATCAGCCTATGGCCAACACACACAGCCACATCTTTAAATTGCTGATCGATAAAGTCAGTTTACGCCTTGATGAAGGACAGCTGTCCTAAACGTTAGAGAACAAACAAACTCATTCGGGTGAGCACAATATGATCTATAATTCTTACTTCGGAATTCTGACTTGCAAACTTGAAGTAATTAGTTTACTATGGGTATAGCAGTTATTTAAATATATTTATCGAACGTTGGCGGTGTTAGGACGGCCCAAGCAGGCGAGTCATCACCCGAGCCGTCCTGAGGGCACTAGTTCAAAGGAATCGGACAGGCCGCCGATGCATGCATGCAGAACGGGTCAAGTCGCGCCACCTTCAACAGTGGAAACCACGCGAGGATGTAAAGGCGTTACGCGCACGCGAAACCGCGGTCATGCTGAGTTCACGCCTGGCCAGAGGTAAAGCGCGTGCGCCAAGTGTCACGATGAGGACACGATGGCTGAGGCACGATAGTTGCTCGCATGGGCCACTCGTGGAGGGCCAATAGTGAACAGTGACTATTGGCTCTTAAATAGCGAGACTGCGAGCAGAAGGGCGCTCTGTTACTAGGACACGACACTGTTAGCGAGACGCGCTACCGACGACCCGAGATCCTGCTGCTGGAGACACAAGACTCTGTTGCTCTAGACGAGAGACTGCTGCCGAGGTGAGACCGACGGCATAACACATGCTGCTGACGGACACAAAAGGCCAAGCTGCCGGACACACAGAAGACAGAGCGTGTGTACAAGCAGAAATAGTGATATTAAACTATTATCTGCTATCCTGTTCTGCCTTCTCTTCCTAACACGCAACTGGGGGATATAACCTGTGTTGACACAGGAACCCACAAGGTAATAGCAGGCGGTTTCTAGCAAAACTAAAAGCTGAAGTAGACTGAAACTTGAAGTAAGCTAATAAACTAAATAGTAAACTAAAAACTAAACTAAAACTAAATTAATAAAACTAAAAGTAACCACAATACTAGGGGTATCTAGGCTGTGCGACCAACTTAACCTTTACCGATGCGCGGTTTTCACGGTCTTCGAGGTTCTCATAGTCGGACTTTAATCCGGCTTCTGATGCGTTTCCCTGTGGATGTGTAACTGTGTGTTCTTGAACTCCCGCCCCTCTCCCTATCCCTTATTCCCTTATTGACTAGAATGGCGCATGTAATCGATTTTCGCAAGTTCCGGAGACGGCAACAGTAGGCAGTCCCTGGAGGCTGGAGTGGGACTGACGGGAGGGAGGACCAATCATCCTTCGATTTTTGAACGTGATGGTGTCGGCAGAACTTGCCTGGTTAATGTCGCCTCTGAAGTACTTGTCGTATTTCTCAGTAGACGGGTGTCATCGAGTATTTTATGAACTTATTTATGGACCGATCGATTGCACGAGCTTCCACTCTCAGCTGTTGTCGCTAATTTCTTGATCTGCATCGGTGAGCATGAGGAAGGCGCCAATGTCTTGCTCGCAGAGGCGCCACTTGCAAAAACATTTGGAGGCCGGTCGGAGTACGATAGACTGTAAGGGCTGTTTCCAATTTACTCGGAAAACCACCATCTGACGCCCCAGGTCACACCGCGAGCTCGGAATAGGCGGAGCGATGTCCAGGACTCCAACATGTAAGCGACAGACCACTATCCGCCACCCGATGTCACGAAATTCAGCGGGCTGAAGCATTGGCACACTATTTTAGATCTTTGATCCCTGTTAAGACAGCCCAGAGGTTTAAAATAGCAACGAACAAGCAGCAGGCTTAAGGGCATACTGAGTGCTTCTATCGCAAAGTGTTAAGGCTACTAAGAAGAAGAAAAAGAAGAAGAAGAAGAAGAAGAAGAAGAAGAATGCTATAT